GTGTCAGGACACTTGAGGAGTGTTTTTGCCCTTTTGACCTAAGCCCAGGAGTTGGAGGTTGCTGTGAGCTGTGATGCCATAGCACTCTACCCAGGGTGACAGCTTGAGGCTTTGTCTCAAAAAAAAAAAGAAGACATTCCAGAGGCGTGTCCCACCACCTCTCCTTGGCTCCAGAGCAGACACAAAACACAGCTGCTACAGCTTGTGTCTCCACATGAAGGAAAAACATAAACCTGGACAAAGCTAACTGACCATCAGATCTCTGGGCCTGTTCTTCCCCAGTCCAAACCCTGAAGTTCTGGCTACATCCTGGGGATATGGATGTGCATGGAATGGGCCTATAAGACATTTCCACTCCATTCTCAAGCTGGAGAATCCCAGAAGGTCCACTTGGACCTTGGTTGAAGGAGGTGACAATTCATAGGGTTTTACTATTCTTAGCCCTGGTAACCAAAAAATATAGCCGAAGCTTGGCCTAAAGAAATTTCATCAACCATTTCACAGTCCCCCCCCTAACCTAGGAAATGTGGACTCCTCTAAAAGCAACCAGTGTCAAGCCCCTGCCCTAGGAGCCAGCCAGCTCAGGTGAGAGCTGCTGGTATGGACTTCACCACACTGGCCAAGAATAGGCTTCTTGCCGAACTCCTTGTGCTGAGCCACCAAAGGCCACGCTGAGAACCATGTCAGGGTCAAGCCCTACCTATCAGGTCACTGTCTTTTTTTTTTTTTTTTGAGACAGAGTCCCAATTTGTCACCCTCAGTAGAGCACTGTGGTGTCATAGCTCACAGCAACCTCCAACTCCTGGGCTCAAGAGATCCTCTTGCCTCAGCCTCTTGAGTAGCTGGGACTACAGGCTCCTGCCACAACACCCGGCTATCTTAGAGATGGGGTCTTGCTCTTGCTCAGGCTGGTCTTGAACTCCTAAGTTTAAGCAATCCACTGCCTGGGCCTCCCAGCGTGTTAGGATTACAGGCCATCCCTGGCTCTCAGGTCACTGTCTTTAGGCTACGGGTGACATCACCCACTATAAGGATCCCCTCCAGAGGAAATGCTAGTGTGATCTTTAAAACAAGGACAAGTACCCTCTTCTGGGCAACAAGCTTGCTTGTACCACGTGGACACTGCATAAGTCAGTGACTAGGTGTCTCTGTGAGCTGCAGAAAAACCAGGGAACACTGTGAGCTACCCAAAGCAAGTGTCAGGACACTTGAGGAGTGTTTTTGCCCTTTCTGACCCTATTTCATCCTAACTGATGTTGGTCTTTTTTCTGCCATTTTTATTTTTCCTCCCTTGTTACATGTATCCTCTGCCTTAAGTTCTTTCTGGAATAAAATGAGAGGTAGAGGGTGGCCGGAAGGGTGAATGGATGAAAGGATAAATGGATGGACAGACAGACAGACTGAAGTAATAACTAGGCTCTCCACCCCACTTACCCGTGACTGGTGCTCAGAGCAAATGCCAACCAGGGTGCGTAGAGCCGCCAGCATGAGGTCAGTCTCTCCTGTATCTAATAGGCGTTGCAGGAGCTGAACTCCATTGCTGCGGAAGATCTTTTCAGCCCCAGCATCCTCTCGGGCCAACACCACCAGGTTCTGAGAAGCCTGCCAGGGAAGTACATTACAATGTTGACAATGCACATGCCGTGAGCAAGTAGAGGCCTGAGCTCTGGACCTGTGATCCTGACCCTGCTCTCAGAATTGATGATTAGAGTAAATGACTCCCCCAACAGATCCCAAGGGGTAGGGCATCAGCTCTGGCCAAGAAGACACTATGTGAACACTGGTTCCCTCAGTTCACACTAAGGCCCCAAGCCCTCGGAGCTCCCACCCAGGCCCCACAAGCCCAGGTGCACGATCGGAGAAGTATCACATGGCAGACCAGGGAGGCAGGGGCTTCTAGGGCCAGCATAGGTGAACAGAGAGAGTGTGTCATGGATGGGCAGCTCTGGGAGATTTCAGCCCCCGCTGGCACAGTCCAGGACCCATACCTTTTGCTTTTTCTCAGTGCCTTTCTCTTCTGGGTCCAATAGTATCTTAAACATCTGTTCCACTTTAGCATCTGTCGAGGACATGTATCGTACCTATGACAAACCATCAAACCATGGAACAAGTCACTTCTCTTAGCCAGAGACATCACACTCCCTACTTGTTTTCTCCAGGGCCAGCTCCTGTCTCCGGGAGCAAAATGAGGAAGTCTAGGCTCAGGGCTAGCAGCAAGCTGCCCTGGGCAGGAAGAGACTCACCAGGCAGGTCCTTCTAAGTTTCTTGCAACTGTTTTCCTCTCTGACCTACTCCCTGCTTAGGCAGCAGGGGCAACAATGATACTGAAGGCAGTGCCTTTCAGAAAGGGAGGCATCCTGTTAGCCAGGAGGCAACCTATTCCCAGGCTGCCACCTACATCATAGTTGCACAAAATGTCCTGTCCATGGCACGGACTTAGCGTTTATACCTCCTGCAAGGGAGCTGGCAAGTTGTGAAGTAGTTGCTAACACTTCCTTTATCTCCAGGATTCTCTTCTTGACAGTTTCTAAAAATGATTTGAATGGGAAAAATCTCTCCCACACCCCAGGGTCCTGACCACAGCTGATGACCTAGCATACATAGCACTTCCTGTCCCCTCATACACTGGCAGACATGAATAATCTGGCCTACTAAGCCCAGGCAATCTATTTCTGAATCTTCCTCAACACAGGGCTCTAGGCAGCCATTGCCTATCAAAGTTGGGACTGAGAGGAAAATTATTTGCTTTCCCAAGTTTCAACAGTTCAATAAGGTGTTTACCATCATATTATTTGCTACATCAGCATTTTAATAACAAATTATCTGGTTAATTCAAGCTTACTTATAGTTCATGATGGTCTTTAGATTTTTCTCTCCTGAAAGTACATTTTTTTTTTTTTTGAGACAGAGTCTCACTCCGTCATCCTGGGTAGAGTGCTTCGGCATCAGCCTAACTCTGAGCAACCTCAAACTCTTTAGCTTAAGCAATACTCTTGCCTCAGTTTCCCAGGTAGCTGAAACTACAGGCACCTGCCATAACGCCTGGCTGATTTTTCTATTTTTAGTAGAAACAGGGTCTCATTCTTGCTCAGGCTGGTCTCGAACTCCTGAGCTCAGGCAATCCTCCTGCCTCAGCCTCCCAGAGTACCAGGATTACAGGGGTGAGCCACGCCTAGACTATAATATCGTTTTATTAACATAAATATTAACAGATGAAGCAGTCTCCTTTGAAGAGCCCCCTCACTCCTATTCTTTACCCAGGGGTTACAATGTTATCATTTTAATGGGTATCTTTTAAGATAACTTTCTTTGTATTTACAAACCCAAAGTCTATCTACAGAAAAAACATAGCATTGTTTTGCTCTGTAGCGGATCACTTTAACATGAATGGCATCATACTGTTCATTATTGCATATTTTGCTTATTTCACTCCACATGTGTCAGATAGCTTTCCATGTCAACACACATGGAAGTACTTATTCTCGTAACTACAGTTTAAGAGTCTATAATAATGATATCACCCAGTTTATTTCATTCCCCTATGGCTAGGCATTTAGATAAGTTCCAAGTTTTCCTTACTAAAGCAAGGCAGAAATAAACATACACATGACCATGTGTGCACATTGACAAGGTTCCTCTAGGGGAAACAGCAAGAAGTAAATACGCTGGATCACAGAATGTACTCATTTAAAATTTCTTTTTTGGCACTCTAGGAGGCCAGGGTGGGTGCATTGCCTGAGCTCAAGAGTTCGAGATCAACCAGCCTGAACCAGAGCAAGACCCCATCTCTAAAACTAGCCTATAGTTTTAGAGACACCTATAGTCCCAGCTACTCAGGAGGCTGAGACAAGAGACTCACTCGAGCCCAGAGATGGAAGTTGCTGTGAGCTATGATGCCATGACACTTTACCCAGAGTGACAGAGTAAGACTCTGTCTCAAAAAAATAAATAGGGGGCAAGAAACAATTATAAGAGGTACTTTACCTAAAAAATGAAAACAATGTAACCTAATTCTTTGTGCCCTTGGTTAACCAGAAGCAATTAAAAAAAAATCTTTAAAAATTTATTTATTGGCTCGGCGCCTGTGACTCAAGCTGCTAAGGCGCCAGCCACATACACCTAAGGTGGCGGGTTCGAATCCCCAGCCCGGGCCC